CAGGATGAGCGGCTCAGATGCGGGGCTGGAGGAAGAGCCAGAGCTCAGCATCACCCTCACCTTGCGGATGCTGATGCATGGGAAGGTGAGTTGGTGGGGGCTCCACTGTGGCTTGTGAGGGGGCAGAGGGCAAGGTGAAACAAAGCCTGACCAACTGGGAGTTTGATCTCAGGTGGCCTCTCTCCTGTGGAGCCCCTGCCCCCGGTGCGGGGAGGAGCAGGGTCTGGGGATTGGTGTCCCCCTGACTCCACTCTTGTCTTGTTTGCAGGAGGTGGGCAGCATAATTGGGAAGGTAGGTACCCGGTTCTGTTCTGTGTGTCCCCTTCGACCTGAGGCCTCAGTCCAGGAAAGGAGGCAATAACCATTCAGGCTAAGAGCCATTCTCTATTTTGTCTCCTGCAGAAAGGAGAGACTGTCAAGCGAATCCGGGAGCAGGTGAGGATCGAGTTTGGGAGAGGAGCCTAGGGCACCTGATTTGGAGGGAAGGGGAGGTCCCTGTTCCACCTTATCCCTGAACCCCACCATCTGGGATGACCAGTGAGTGCCACTAGAAGGTGGCTGTTTCCAGCCTTGGCTTGTGCCCGGTGAGTGGGGCAGGCAGACAGGTTCCTGGCCAGGAAGCGGAGAAGGAGCCCCGCTGCCCTGCACTTGTCCTGTACCTGCAGAGCAGTGCCCGGATCACCATCTCTGAGGGCTCCTGCCCTGAGCGCATCACCACCATCACTGGGTCTACGGCAGCCGTCTTCCATGCGGTCTCCATGATCGCCTTCAAGCTGGACGAGGTGTGTAGCAAGCTGGGGTGAGAGGCCAAGGTGGTTCCCAGGAGTAACAGGACTGCAATTCCGCACAGTGGCTATGGGTGGGAGAGGAGGCCAAGCCCAGGGCAGGGTTCTCTCGTTGGAATGGGACTGGGGGAGGGCTTCCTTCCTTCATCCTTCAGCAGAAAGGTGCTCCAGGGGCAAGAGAGCAGAAGGGTTGAGCATGGCCAACGCACAGTCTTCCTGCTCAGGACCTTTGCACTGCTCCTGCAAATGGTGGGAATGTCTCCAGGCCTCCGGTGACCCTGCGCCTTGTCATCCCTGCAAGCCAGTGTGGCTCACTGATTGGGAAGGCTGGCACCAAGATCAAGGAGATCCGAGAGGTGAGGGAAAGGGGATACCACCTGCTGGGAGTCCCACCCTCCAGTTGTGAGGGGGGACCTAGGCTCATGGCTTCCTATCCCCTGGGGAGCTCCAAGCCTGGGCAGCACTACTCTGGGTTATGGGAGCAGCCAGAAATGGCCTCTGTTCTCTGCTTGCAGACCACAGGTGCCCAGGTGCAGGTGGCAGGGGACCTGCTCCCCAACTCTACAGAGCGTGCTGTCACCGTGTCTGGGGTGCCTGATGCCATCATCCTGTGTGTGCGTCAGATCTGCGCTGTTATCCTGGAGGTGCCGCCCTGGGACAGGGAGAGTGGACATGGGATGGGCCCTGGGCTTGCCTTCTCAGGCCCCCAAATCCTATGCCTGTGACACCAGGTGGGGGCAGGGTGGGGCTGCAGGGATGGATTAGGAGCTCCAGGATATTGGGATGCATTTACCTGGGGGCCATGGGGAGGGCCTTGAGAATATAGAGCCCTTGGGGAGGTCAGTGAGGCCTGAGAGGGTCCTGATAGAGCCTCCCTATTTGTGCCTTCCAGTCCCCACCCAAAGGAGCCACTATCCCATATCATCCAAGCCTCTCCTTAGGTACCGTCCTTCTCTCCGCCAACCAGGTGAGGGGGAACAGCAGGAGGGGTAGGAGGCATTACTGGAGGAGGGGGATTGAGATGGGGGAGGGGATGGAAGAAGGAATTAGAGGTCCAGGGAGAGGGGGGAGGAGTAACTGGCTAAAATGTCCTGACCTGTCGCAGTAACCCCCTTTTCATCCACTTTGTCCCCACAGGGCTTCTCTGTCCAGGGTCAGTATGGGGCTGTGACCTCAGCTGAGGTGAGTGACCCACAGCACAAGGCACCACTTCCGGAACCAAGCCTCCTCTGACTTCTAACCCCTCTTCTTTGGCACAGGTCACCAAGCTCCAGCAGCTCTCTGGCCACGCAGTCCCTTTTGCCTCACCCAGCATGGTGCCAGGTGAGCAGCCCCTGCAGAAGGAGGCGGGGGCAGATTCCAAGGGGCCAGGGAGCCCCCCTGGAATGGACATGGGAGGCAGGAAAGGCCCAGAACCACGCCCAATCCCTCTTCTCCCCCCCAGGACTGGATCCTGGTGCACAGACCAGCTCGCAGGAGTTCTTGGTTCCCAACGATGTGAGCAGAGGATGGGGTGGTTTGAGGGTGGGTAGGGGGGCCCAGGGGTCTGAGCCTCGCCTAGGGTTGAATTCCGCCCTCCCCCCAGCTGATTGGCTGCGTGATCGGGCGCCAGGGCAGCAAGATCAGTGAGATCCGGCAGATGTCAGGGGCACATATCAAGATCGGGAACCAAGCAGAAGGTGCTGGCGAACGGCACGTGACCATCACTGGTTCCCCGGTCTCCATCGCCCTGGCCCAGTACCTCATCACTGCCTGGTGAGTTGGGGGCTGGGTGTGTCACATTTCACAGGGCTTAAATGCCTGGGAAAGGTACAGGTCGGGTGGGGAGAGCTGACCTCCCTTCTCTGTCTGGGTCCATCGTCTTCCTCCCCTAACCCTGCCTCACTCACTCCATGTTGCCCCATCTTCCCTGTCTACATCCGTCCCTCATGTCCTCTTTCCCCATCCCTGGTTCTTTTCCCTGGGTTTTTGGCCTCTTCATTTCTCCCCTCACCCCATACTGTATCTACTTGTCCTTTCTTCCCATCCCCATCTCCCACTTTCCTATCTTTTCCCCAAACACATCTGCCCCATGTCATTGTTGGCAATTTGTCTCTTTCATCTAATCTTGCCCCCTATATTTGCCTTCATTGCCCCCTCTCTTACCCCCACCTTCCCCTTCATTTCCCCCCATATCCTTCTCTCCAGTCTAGAAACGGCCAAGTCTACCTCTGGGGGGACGCCTGGCTCAGCCCCTGCAGACCTGCCTGCCCCCTTCTCGCCGCCCCTGACGGCCCTGCCCACGGCTCCCCCAGGCCTGCTGGGCACACCCTATGCCATCTCCCTCTCCAACTTCATCGGCCTCAAGCCTGTGCCCTTCTTGGCTCTACCACCTGCCTCCCCAGGGCCGCCGCCGGGCTTGGCAGCCTACACTGCCAAGATGGCAGCGGCCAATGGGAGCAAGAAAGCTGAGCGGCAGAAATTCTCCCCCTACTGAGGCCAGCTGAGGCACAGGCGCGGGGGCAGGCAGGACCGCTGGCAGGGGGCTGCCTCCGCACCCTACCTGCCCAAGGAGACTCCACTGTGGAGTCCCAAATGCCGCTAATGCCCAGACGCATGGATGCACCCCCAATCTGGCCCTGGTCTGTGGGAGTTCCTCCTCTCAGAGTGGGGGCAGTTTCTGGCCCAGGGTTCTAGGAGCTGCGGCAGCCCCAGGAATAGGGGGTTCCACCCCCTCTAGCTCTGTGCTTGGATGCAGGAAGCATCCTTAGTGCCCCCACTTTGGGGGAGGTCACTCATGTACTCCCCATCCCTTAGGGCTTCCCAGCCTACTACCCCCCTGTGGGGAACAGGGAGGAGGGCTGGGGGTGGCTGGGGGCCATGCTTCTTTCCCCACCTCCCTGCAGATTCCTGCTGCTTCCACTGATACCCTTTTGACTGGAATGGACTGGCTGGGCTTGGCAGAGGGCAACCCAGAGAGGGGGCACTGCCGAGCAGCTGGGGGAGTGGTGTGGGGCAGGGGCCAAGTTCTCAGCAGCAGACAAACTCTGTACAGTTTTTTCAATCCCTGTTTTTGAATAAATATTCTCAGAGACCAGGAAGCTGTGAACCACTGTGGGTGTTAGCAAAACCTTCAGAAAATAGGTGCAGCCGAGGCCCCAGAGGACCCCCATCTGTGAATCCACCAGCCTGGTTGGGCCTTGGCTCCTTCCATTTGCCAGTTCTGGGGCTTCAGGGTCCTTTGGGGGTCATGTTGTCCAGCCTCCTGCCTCCAGCACCAAACTGATCCGGTTGTTTTCTGGGTATTTTAGAGGCTGATGGAGGAGTTCCAGTAGCTTTGTTCAGCCTCTCCTCGGTGCAGATGTCAGGGAAGTCTTTCTGAGTGTCTCTCCACTGGTTTCTCCTGTTGTGGCTGTAATCCAGACCCTGCCCTGCTTGGCCCATCCCTTTGGCTGTGAGCCCTTAGGTCCTCTTCTTTGTGATCCTGCCCACCTCTGCTCTTTCCTTGGCCTGCGGATCATCCGTGAGTGTCCAAACCACCTAAGCTGGAGGAGCCCTTAGAGATGGTCCCGGGTACAGATGGGAAAACTGAAGCCCACGGAAGGGTAGGTCTCTTTACAAGGCCATGCAGAGTTGGGCCCAGAATCTAGGATTCTTAGTTCCCAGAAGCCTCTGGGCCTCAGGAGGCTGCAGGCCCTTTTCTTTTTTCTTTTTTTTAAAATGCTGCAATCTTTTTTTTTTTTTTTGTATTTATTTTTTTTCCCCCAAAGCCCCAGTAGATAGTTGTATGTCATAGCTGCACAGCCTTCTAGTTGCTGTATGTGGGACGCAGCCTCAGCATAGCCGGAGAAGCGGTGCGGCGGTGCGCGCCTGGGATCTGAACCTGGGCCGCCAGCAGCGGAGTGCGCGCACTTAACCGCTAAGCCACAGGGCCGGCCCTGCAGGCCCTTTTCTTTCTCATGTTCCAGAGTCAGAAGTCCAGGCTAGGCACCTGCCACAACCTGTGCAGGACGCTGGATGGGCTCCTTCTTTTTTTATTTTTTATTTTTTTTTTCCCCAAAGCCCCAGCAGGTAGTTGTATGTCATAGTTGCACATCCTTCTAGTTGCTGTATGTGGGACAGAGCCTCAGCATGGCCGGAGAAGCGGTGAGTCGGCTCGCGCCAGGATCCGAACCCCAGGTCGCCAGCAGCAGAGCGCGCGCACTTAACCGCTAAGCCACGGGGTCGGCCCTGGCTGGGCTCCTTCTGGTACTGCCCTCCGTTCTCCAGTCCCAGCTCAGCTTGGGAGACAGATCTCTCAGGTGGTCTCTGGCCTTCTCAGGCTCTCCCTTCCTGCCAAATCTGGAGCTTGTTTTAGTGCCTCAGAAGGGCCTAGGGCAGGGCCCTCTGTAGGTCCCTGGAGGTGCTGCAAGAGGGCCCGCGGGTGCCACGCCCGTGGAGTGCAGGCTCGCGGGGGTCGGGGCAGTGCTTCGCGGGCGAGGCGGCCCAGCGCCCTGCGCACGGGGCGCTGCAGCAGGCCGTACAGAAATGGGTGAGCCGCGAAGGCCGAATAGGCTACCCAGGTGACGGCCGCTTCGGCCGCTGCGGCCTGCGCAGCGGGCGCCAGGCACGCACAGCCGTAAGGCAGCCAGCAGGCTGCGAACTGGCCCACGGCCAGCGCTGGGGCCAGGGCTGCTTTGGCCCCAGGCAGGCGAGGCCGGAGGGGCGGCAAGATGGAGAGGCGGCTATCCAGAGAGTCGGAGCGCAGCCGGGACCCTCGCGCTGGCAGCGGGGGCCGCAGGGCGGCGCGGCGCGCCACAAGGAAGATGCTGCCATAGGCGCCAAGCAGAAGGAGGGCAGGCAGCGCGAAGGCCAGCAGCGCCCAAAGCGGCCGAAAGGGCCCGAGGCCCCCGGCCAGGACCGAGCAGCGAGCTGGGGCAGGGGGCGGTGCGGGCGGCGGCCCGAGCAAGGAGAGCGCGCCCATCAACCCCGCCACGGCCCAGACGGCAGTGAGCACAAGGGAGGGCGGAGGCCGCGCGCCGGGCCGCAGCGGGTGCACTATGAGACGGTAGCGCGCTAAGCCAAGCGCGGCCACACCGAGTGTACAGGCGGGCAGCAGCGCAGCCGAGAGGAAGCGCGCGGCGCGGCAGGGCGCGGGGCCCAGGCGCGTGCGGCCCAGCCCGGGCGGCGGCGCGGCCAGCAGGCCCAGCGGCATGATGGAGGCGGCCGCCAGCAGATCCACGATGCACAGGTGCACCAGGTAGAGGGCGTCGCGCAGTCCTGGCGTGCGCAGCACCACGACCAGCAGCGCGCCATTGCCCAGCACTGCTGCTGCCTCCACGACAGCAGCCAGGATCAACCCCATCGAGCCTGCGACTTCTGTGGCGTTCAGCCCTGTAGTGTTGGCCATTCGGGCGTTCAGGCTTCACCCTGTGCTGGGATGCAGAGAGCGAAATGGAGCGTCTCCCCCTCCCCCCGTTCCCATCACCCGTCTCTTGCTCTGCTGGCCCCTCACCTCATAGGCTGCCCAGGCGCTGGCTCCGACGCCCAGGCTGCCATCCTCTTGCGGGCTTGGCTGGCCCCATGGAGGAGTGCAAGGCTGAGACTGCGGCTCTCTCCTCTGCCCCAGCAACTCAGTTCCTGCTGGAGATGGTACTGACTGTCACTCTGATGTTGCCCTTTAGAGACACACAGAGCTGGCAAGGGAGGGGCAGGGCCTGGCACCAGACCCCTGGGTCCTAGCAGCTGCCAGCTGGAGGCTAGAGGCTGTGCTGTGGAAGTGCTGGGGGTGCCTCTGGAGGGGGGCTCAGAGCAGGCACGGGCTGGAGTCTAGACTGAGGACATTAGAGGGTGGGCTTTGGAGTCAGCCATCCCTTGCTCTGCCTTTCCCAGGAGCTGGAAGTGGCCTCCCATCTGCTCTCCTCTCCCGTCCCCCTCAGTGGGGGTAATAAGATCATCCAGCCCTTGTACTGAGGGGAAACTGAGGTACCAGTAAGAAAGAGCTGGAGCAGGGAGACCCCTAGGTACCCTCAGGCCCCCAGGAGGGCTAGTTCTCTTGGAGAGGAGGCTAGGTAAAGTGAGGGAAAAATCGCAGGACTTGGCCCGTGGTGGTGCTCAGCCGTATTAGCTTGGCACTGAATAGCTGCTTCATGACAGTGTGTGGAATTAATGAGAGGAGGCCTTAGGGGGCAACTGTTGTGTTTTGTTTTGTTTTGTTTTTGCTGTTAGCAAGTAAGTCCCCTTCTGCTAAGAGCACCTGTGTTTTCTTTAGGAAACCACCCCTCCCCAACACTCAGGACTTGTGGTTTGGGTGAGCAAGATCCCCACCCTCCATTTTCCTGATTAGGCACAAAGCCCAGTCCTGGCCAGTCAGTGTATGGCATCCCCGCAATGTGGCTGGCTCAGGGAAAGCCACGTGACTCCAGTGGGGCATATGCCCCCAGGTAAAGTTGCCCAGTCCCATGGCAAAACCACATCTATACCCTGATGGCTTGCATTTGTATCTGAAGCTCCTTCCTCTCCCCAACCCCAGACTTGGGGATCCAGCTGCTTCTTCAGCATCTCCCCCAGTACTTTGACTACTGGGCATCTCAAACATCCTATTGTCCAAAACAGAACCATGACTCTTGACCCCTTCCCAACCTGCTCCTCTCAGTGAGGAGGAGCGTTCCCATCTGGTAAACTCCATCTCAGAAGTTTTCATTGACACCTCCCTTTCCCTCACACTCCACATCCAATCCATCAACGTATCTGAATCCAGTCATTTCTCACCACTCTCAGTACTATGGTCCCAGCCACCGGCACCTCTCACCTGGACCATTTCACCATCCTCTTGACTGGTCTCCTGGCTTCTGCTCCTGTACCTTGTGCTGGTCATTTGCCTGTTTTGCCCTTTAGAGACACACAGAGCTGGCAAGGGAGGGACAGGGCCTGGCACCAGCCCCCTGGGTCCTAGCAGTCTTCCCCAGTGCTGCTGTGCCTTCCGGGGAACTGTACTTCCCAGGCTCCTTTGCCAGTTGATTTTTGGGTATATTCAGCCAATGGAAGTTATCAGCAGAAGACTGGAGGATGCAAGGAGAGAAGAAGCCGGGGTATTTTCCTTCTCATGCTTAGCCTGGGGCTCTGGATCTGCGTCTGTGGAAGACAGCCTCTCTCTCCTTCAGGCGACCCCCTCTGTGGTTCTGGGGCCTGCAGGGTGACCCTGGTCTCTGGGTACTGGAATACCATTTCCTTCCATTACCCTTCTAGCCTAAGTGTGGTAGGAACTTCCTGCTGTTGCCAATCTTTGGACTGCCTTACCATCCCTTTGGTAGTTCACTTCCTTCCCTGTATCAGATTCCCCTTGTGTGGAATACCTAGAGTGATTTCTGTTTCACTGACTGGATCTTGACTGACACACACCCTACAGTCCACTCTACACAGCAGCTGAAGTGGATCCCTCTGAAAACAAATCAGGTCAGATCATGACCCTACTCGCATCCCTCCCAGAGCTTCCCATCACCAGAACAGAGTCTCAGCTCCTCTGTGCTGAGTTGGCCTTCTCCCCACCTCTGACCTCTCTCTCCTCCTTGCCTCCTGTACTTCCAGCCGTAGCAATCATCTTGCTGGTCCTCCCACACGTCAAACTGGTTTCCGTCTCAAGATCTTTGCACTTGCTGTTTCCTCTGTCAGAACTCCCTTCCCTCGGATCTGTCCCTGGCTTGCTCCTTCAGCCAGTTCAGGTCTCTGCTTGAGAGAGGCCTTCAGTGACCGTCTTTTTAAAAATTGTTCTACCTTCCCGTCACTAATCCTTTTACCCTGCTTTATTTTTCTTCCTGGCACTTTTCCTACCTGCTATCACATTTCACATTTACACATGTGTTTGTTTAAAACCTGTTTTACTAGAATGTAAGCTCCGGGAGAGCAGGGGCCTCATCTGCATCTTGCTCATGCCTGTGCCCCTAGAGCCCAGCACAGGCACGTGGTCAGCATCAGCACAGATCTAGGTGGTAGACACCAGGGCGTGGACCTCCAGGTTTGACTTGTTTCCTACTGGAATTCGAAGGGCTCTGGTCCAATTCTCCATTATTCAGATGAGAAAATTGGTGCTTAGAGAGGGAAGGAATGTGTTCTAGATCACATAGCTGAGTTGTACCTAGAACCCAGGTCACCTGCTTCCTAGGTCTGTCCACACAGGCACCCCTTCCTGTAGTTGGCCACAACTTGAACGTGGGCATGTGCCTCTCCGAGGTGGAGCTGGATTTCTGAGGTCTTGGTTCAGAGGAAGGAGTAGGCCTTGGCCTTCTCCCTGCCCAGTTAGGCCTGCAGACCTGGGGCAGCTGCTGAGCCACCAGGGCCTGGGGAGGGCTCACCAGGGCCAGGTGGGTATGGCAAACGAGAAAAGTGGACTAGGGGAGGCAACAGGGAGTGATGGGGGCTATGGTGGGTTGGAGAGTGCATGCTCCTTTCAAAATCACTCAACTAAATGAAAAGTTAAAACATTTTGCAGTTTATTTATTTTTTAATTTGCAAAAAGAAATGCAGGAAGGATAAACCAGAAACTACAGCAAGTGGGTGGGAGTGGGGTGAAAGGGCTAGGAGAAGGACACTCTTCTGAGCACACATTTTTGTATAGATGGGACTTTTTGGAACTATGTTAATGTTCTAATTATTGAAAAAAATCAATGGAGATGAGGAAAACACCCTAAAAGTGAATATAAACAGAAACAAATGAACTTACCTGTATTTCAAATGAATAATATACGGCACCAAAGTGAAATAATAACTAATCCAAGTAACATTTGAACCTGTGTTCAAACTGTTACCTTGACCACTGACCCTCAGTCTAAAGACAAAAAGATAATCTTGAATAAGATTCAATAAATCTTGAGTTCTGCTTAGAAAGTTTGTTTTTCACAGTGGTATGGGTGTAGCAATTCTGAAATTCCTTTTTGTGTGGGATTAAGCAAATAAGTAAATATATTGATGTTGATGAAAACCAAGGTTCTAACTGTTAGAGAAGGGAGGTATAAATATGGATTTGGGGTAGAACGGAAGAACGCTGTGGTGTTGGACTGGAATTGGAGAAATGGATATAGATAGATGTGTTTATTTATTTACATATACATGTTTCCTAGCTCTCTTTGCTACAAAGACTTGAAAGCAATGACACCCCAGTACCAAGGAGCATATCTACTGTCCAGATCTTGGATTCTAAACACCATTTCCTACTCTAGGGAACCAGGGCTCCTTGGAGAAATGGCTGATTCCAGGTGTGTGTGAGATGAGCCTGGAACATCTTGTGATGCCAGAAAGTAAGGAAGTGCTCAAAAAATGATGTAGACACAGGAGTCAGCTTGAAGGACCTTCTGCTGGCCATATCTGGCCATAAGTATCAAAATAAAGACAGTAATGGATTATAACCCACGGAATAAAATAAGAACCCACAAATCCGTACTGATAAAGAAAGAATATTAATTTATAAATATAAAATAAATGATGGAATTAGATAACTATCATTTGCAACCATCTTAGCAAAAATTGACTCAAGTCAACAATTTCAGGTAAAAATCATCAGTGGATGTTAAAGCCAGTGGGTGAGAGTCGATGAGAAATGAGACATTTGCACCTCAAAGTATCTTCCCACAGATTACTGATTAATTAAATGGGAGAAATGGTAACTTTCCAGTGGTGAAACCTGGTGGACACCACCTTAAGCAATTGAAGTTAACATCACCAAGAGTGGGGCGTGTCCCTCCCAATATAATGCACCAAGGACACATCATTTATGTAACGTTCCTGCCCAAATTGCAGCCCTGAATCTATTCATGACAAAACATCAGACAAACCCAAATTGAGAGAGATTCTAGGAAGCAACTGGCCTGTTCTCTTCAGGAGTGTCAAGAATGTCAAAGCTATGAAGGAAAAAAAAAGGCCGAGGAATGGTTTCAGATTAAAGGAGACTAAAGAGACATGACAAGTACACGCAGCATGTGACCCTGGACTGGATCCTGGCCCACCCTCTAGCGCCTGCACCCCTCGTTTGTGGATAGGGTGACCTGGGGTGATAACTGGCATTCCTTTCCTGATTGCAGAGCTGTGTCCCTCGGATACGTGCTCAACTTGTCTATAATACTCAGCTATAAGATGCACATGGAAGTCTGGTGCCAAGACATGAGCAATGCTTGATTTGCCTGGCCACGTCTGGGCTAAATGATAGAATCACTGGGTGGGTCCCCAAATGACCCACAGTTCTGAGTTGATGACGATGGTCTCCTCTGAAGGCTCAATGATCAGAGGAGGTCGGTTGTTGTAGTAATGGATGTAGATCGGCCAGGGTGGGTGGGGCGTGTATGTGACCCACATCAACCCTTGTGAGTACTCACTCCTTGGAGTGGGGCTGGAGCTGCTGTGTGGTGTGGTGGGTCACCGTGCAGAAAAAGGAGGCCCAGGCCTGGTGCAGCTACAGCACAGATAAGCAGAGGCCGGGAGGCGAGCGAACACAATGTTTAATAAACTTGTCTGTGCATGCCTGAAGTTCAGCCTACCTTGGTGATCACACCTCTCAGATGGACAGTCTGGGCAAATCTGGATGGCCTAGGTGGATGTGGGATCCCACCCACCCTCAGCCTGTGCCCCTCTAACTAAACAGCCTTGAATAGGCTACTGTATGTGTGTCCCAGTAACAACGCTGGTACATCATGCCCATCACCTTTGGAGGTGGGCGAGGCTGGGGCCACAGCCACACCAGGACTAACAAGGATTGGAGGGAGGTCGGATCACTGTCTGGGACACAGGAGGGAGATTTGGGAGCAAGAACGGGTGATATGGGGGCACCAGGGATGGACAGGAAGACTGAGAATGACGGGAGGCCGGCGGACAGCTCAGAGGCGAAGCTCCAGCAGGTAGCGCAGGCGGCACTGGCTTCCTGGTAGATGAGATACTCACTCTGGGAGAAGCTGGAGCAGCGGAACTCTGGGCAGAACATTGGCCGGCCCTGGGGCACCACCACTTGCTGGCCATCCAGCTCCAGCTTGGTGTCCTGGGTTGGATCTGCAGGGCACAGCAAGGGCCATGGTTACCCAAGGGTCACTGGTCCTCAGCTTTACCAGTAAGTCCTGGCCCCCATGCTTTCCACTTCTGCTACAGGGCATGCCTGCTCATTCCCACCTTGCCAACCTCCAAACTACTACTGCACAGGCTGGGCCTTCTGCCTGGAATATCCTCCCCCATTTCTCTGCCTGGGAAATGCCCACTCATCTTTCAAAGCTCAATGACACCTCTTCTTTGAAGCCCTCCCGGATGCCCAGGAACCATTTGTTAAATAAGTGAGTGTTTGGTAAATGACAAAGTGAATAACTGCAGTGACAAAGCCTGCTTCTTTTTCTCCCTTTCCACAGCCCCTTCCCTGCTCACCTCCTCCCGGAAAGCGTCCGGTCCCCCATCTCAGTCCCACCTCTAACCTCAGGCTTGTCCAGCTTCTCGGGACTTGCCGGGTTCTGTGCAGCCTTGGGCAATGACACTGTCGAAGCAAGGGGGTGGCTGCTTTAAGCTAGGCTCATCGGTGGTGACACGGTGCTCTCTGCCCAGTGCCACCTCACTCAGGAACATGTAGCCGATGTCGTGGGCCCCGCAGTGCATGCCAGTAACCGGGGGACACAGGGAGGTTCAGAGTAGGCAGCTCGGCCCTCCTGCCTGACTCCCTGGGCCCCTCTGTTGCATCATTATTTCCTCTGGCTTTGCTGCCACAGCCCAGAAAAGTGCCCACTCTTCCTCCATCCTTAAAAACACCCCCTTGTTCTGGCCATGCTCTCTCCCACCCCTCCCTGAAGTCAGGCCTCTACACCCCCTGCTGCCCTCACCAAAGTCAGTAATGGCCTCCTAGTGACCAAATCCGGGGTGAAGGGCTTTTCTCCCTGGCCTGCTTTGCTGATTTTGCCACCGGCATCCTTCACCCCTTACCCTGGGACCCCCTTGCACTGGCTCTCCTGAGGCTACCCTCCACTCTTTCTTAGGCTCCTCTGTCCTCCAGGTGGGCTCCTGGGCAGCCTCAGACATCCTAGAACTTCAGCCCCACCTGCCCTTGGATGAATCCTCAGACCTTGCTCTCTTAGATGGTTGGGTGGTGGTGGTATCCAATGATGGGGTCAGCCTAGGCTGAGGAGCAGTCTGTCTGGGGAGGTCACCTCAGTGAGGACACCTCTGGACAAATACTTGGGGGTCATTAGAGACACCTTTGACCCTTTCCCATATGCTGCCCGTCCCACCTCCCACATATCCCTCTTGTGGACTCTCTCCTCCCCCACCTCTACTGCCTTGGCCTCTGCCACCCTCCCCACAGCTGCAGCCACTGAGACCCTGCTACGTACAAGTCTAACTGGGCTCCCCATTGCTCCCTAGATGAGGCTCCCTTGACCCTCCCAGGCCCCAGCCCCGGGAGCACAGCCCACCCCAGGCATGTGCTCTAAGCTTTATCATCAGGTCATGCTCAGAGGTCCTCACCTGCCACAGCCTCCCAGCCTTTGTGCCACCTCCTGGCTGCTTTACCTCGAAGGCTCCTCTTTCGCCCCCTTCCAGGTCTGGTTGGCACACTCATCCTATCTGCATTGCCTTCTCTAGGAAGCCATCCCTGACCACTGGGCGCCTCCCCTGAGTCCCCCCAAGCTGCAGGATGAGTACTCTGGGCAGTAACTATTCAAGGGTTCCTCTCCCGGATTCATCACAAGTTGGGCAAGCACTGGGCCCAGCCCCCTTAGCGTCCCCATACCCACGCAGGGCTTGGCCCCAAGTGGCACCTCACCATAGCCAGCTGACTTGCTGTTCTCCGAGGTGAAGTAGATGCCCTTGCCAAGGCGGCCACCAGAATGCGGCATGATGCGGAGCCCGCTGGTGAGGATGGCGGCCACCACAGCCACGTTGGTGCCATGCCACAGTAGCCTCCGATTACCCAGCGTGGAGTGGGCCTGGAACCTATGTCCCTGGGGGGAGAGGAGGTGGGAAAAGGGAGAGTCATGCCATCCAAACTCAGGGGCTTCTCCTTGCTGTTCAGAGGGTACAACCAAGGCCGAGGGCCCCCCTGGCCACTCACATACACTCATGCACACATGCACAAGACCTAGGCCTGGCAGAAACTGGTCAGAGTGCCTAAGCCGAGTCACTAAGGGACAGATAAGCCAAGGTCACCTCCATAAGGGATGAGGTAGGGATGGGGGAGGGAGTTGGGGGGACTCTCTCTCACCTCCCCTTCTCAGTTCACTTTCCAAACATGCTGAAGAGCAGGGCACCTGTAGTTGTTGCCGGTCTGTTTCAAGTAGGTGTGTATCACCTGCGGGGACAGCAGAAGCTGGGTGCCAAGGGTGAGAGACGTGTGGACGAACTACCACTGGCCTCCCAGTCCCAGAACTGTTCTCAGGCCCTAGAGACACAGGGAGAGAGGGCTGAGGGCGAGGGACTCCTCTGGGCACCTGGAGGGCAGAGGGGCAGAGCCCACTGTCAGCCGGGCTCCTCTGTGGGGCCCTGCCCACCTTGTACTCAGGTGCCTCTGCATCCAGCAGCTGGAGCTGGCACTTGAGGAGCTGGTAATCTCGGTCCAGTGGGTGTGGCACCTCCTCCACCTTCTCCTCCTTAGGGGCTGCCTGCAGGGTCTGGGCCAGCTCGATGTCTGCCAGCACCTAAGATGATGGGCACTAGCAAGTCTGTCTACTTGACCCCCGGCCTCTCCTCTCCCTCCCAAATGACTAAGACCATGGCCACCCCACCTGTCTGTCCACCTGTTCACCCCCACCCCATCTATCTGCCTGGTTTTCCCCTCTCATGTCCTTCGGCTTGCCCATGGCAGTCCATCTATTTGGGCCTTCTTGGCCATCTGTCCCCCATCTCCCTTGTCCAGTCTGTCTGTTTGGTACCCCCACTGTCTGCCCACCTGCCATCACTCACCAGCAGCATGTCCTTCTTGGCCTGCAGAAGCTCAGGGGAGTTGATGGGCAGGGGCCGGTTGCGGCCGAAGTTGTGGGGAATGACAGTGTAGAAGCGGGAGGACAGCTCCTCCAGGCAGAGACCACCATCTGTGGGGGCTTTCAGGGCCACCTCCAGTGCCTCCAAAGCCTCGAAGCCCTGTGCAATCTGCAGCTTGCTCAACTTTCCCAGGGGCATCTTCTTCACATCTAAGGGAAAGGGGAGAGTGCGCAGACTTAGCCCTGCAGCCTTGCCACCCCCGGGCCCCTGCCACCCTGCCTAGCTCCTCTCCCCTCACCCAGGTTCATGAGGGCCATGGCCTTATTGAACATATCCTTGCTGAAGATATTGGTGATGAGCTTCCGTGTGGCTGCATCCAGGGAGCAGTGCCACACCCGCTGAACCACGGTCCTCACTGGGCCTCCGTCCACCTAGGGGTAGAGGGCACTTGTGGGCAGGAGCAGCTGCGCAGGGCACCCACACCTGGAGCAGGGCCCTGCATTAGACAGAGATTGGCCAGACTGAGGCCAGAGAGGGGAGGTCTGTGCCTAAGATTGCACAGCTGGGCAGTGGCAGAGCCCAACCGGCTGGGTCTGTCTGTCCAATGCCCCCCTCAGCCCAGGGCCCAGCCACCCTCCCTGGCCATTCCACCTTCACCACGGCTTCTCGGGTCTCGTCCTCTCCCTGTACTTCGACAAGTGTGTACTTGCCGGGATGGGCCACAAAGTGGTCCCGCTCCGCCCAGTTGTTCTTGGTCTTGTCTCGAAATTTCTTCTCAAAGTCCTTCTTTGCATTCTCCAGTAACACGAAGTAGTTGAGCTTTGACTGGCCCACCTCTCCCTGCAACCAACAGCCCTCAGGGGTGTGCCCTCTACAGTGCCCACTGTAAACATTTGCTGGCCTCTGCTGTGCCAGCTGTGCCAGGGCCTGTGCTGAGTGGCCCTGGACAGTTGGAGGTGGAGAGGGGGCACAGTCAGCAGCCATGGCCTTTCAGCTTGAGTAACCTGTGGGGACCCTGGGGAGCAGGGGGGATGTGTGTTGAGCAGGGAGAGGTGGGGTAGGAGGCAGGCACAGGGTGGGCAGGTGGCACTCACCACATGGCCCCAGCGGTTCCAGCAGACGAAGCGGTCACCGTCTTTCAGCAGCTGGATGATGTAGAACTTGTTGTTATTGCGCCCGATGTTGGTCTGGTTCAGGGTGCAGTCGTAGTCTTCATGCACCTGGGGCCAGAGGGGGCGTGGGGAGGGCAGGCTGGCTTGGGCTGCTCTTGGGTGGGATAGGGTACACGGCCGCAAATGACAGGGGTCTGATGGGAACAGGAGTCAGACTGTACTAGGGTGTCAGAGGAGGCTCTGTCTCGGAAGGCTTGAGGGGGTCACAGTTCTGGCCTGCGGGACACAGTCTGAGGGGATATGGCTAAACTTGGGCAGTGGGGGGAGGTTCTGGGAGGACATGACTGGGTCTAGGAATCTGAGGGACACATAGTTCTGCCCTAGGGGTTCTGACAGGGACAAAACTCTGCCCTGCTGGTGATCATAGGGGACATGGCTCTACCCTGTGTGGCTGCTTTGAGGGGACATATGTGAGCCCTGGGGAGACTGAGGGGGTTAAAGCCCTGCCTTAAGTGTGTTGGGGTGAAGCCTGAGAAGCGCAGGGGCCTGTGCTGGGGTCTGAAGAGCAGACACGACCTGCCCAGATCTGATGGGATATAGCCCGTCTGACCTTTGGGGTCTCAGGAGAACATAGCTTATTTGGGAGCCATGAGCTATGTGGCCAGAGCCTAGTCCTAGTGGGGAGGGGAGAAGGTCTGAAAGTATCTGTACCTAGGAGGCTCTGGGCCTGGCTGGGGACTATAGCTTACCTGGGTCCCAGGGCTGCAGCTGAGTGGGCATGCGGGGTCCACTCAGACTATGTGCTTCTCTGTGGGCGCAGCTCTGAGGGCCTTGGCAGTGGAGTGGAAGCTGTCCTCCTCTGACCCCTGTTTCTTCTTCTCAGGGCCCTCACGCTGCACAGAGGGCTTGCGCTTTGGAGCCATGGCTGTTCTGGGGCACCGTGGGGGCCCTTAGGCCTCCACAGCTTCTGCACCCCACCTGGCTGGCACAGCACAAATGGCTGTACCCTAGGTTTGCCCTTTGGTGACCTCCCACTGCCTCCGCCTGCCTCCACTTCCCCATTCCCAGCCCCAGACCAAAACTGGCTCTCTGCACCCCAGATATACCCCTTTCCCCAGTCACAGTGGCCAGACCATGACCCTGTCCAGTCTGCCAACTCGGGTCAAGGAAGAGTGGTTCCCTACCTTCTCTAGCTCTCCAGTGTGTCCAGAAGTGGTAGGGAAAGTGAAAGGAGAATCTCCCCCACCACTTCTGGGCTCCTCCTCCCTCCAGAGCACTCTCTGGGTACTGCCTGCTCCTCCCCCTCTCAGTTAACTCGGACCTGGCATGGTTGCTGGGTTGAGTCACCCCAGCTATGGAGAAGAGTGGGCAGCTGTCCGGGGGCCAGCACTCCTGGGCCAGACATATCCCCCAAGAGCTTGGGACCTAGTGGTGTAGAAACCTTTCCCAAGGCACTCAAGAGTTCTAGGGTGCCAGCCAGGGTCCCAGACAACTACCCTTGTACTGCCAGAGGTCAAGGGCCAGTCCCACCCAGCTCTGCCCTGTGGAGGGCTGTGAGCAGGCCATAGGGCACTCACCTAAGAGAAGCAGGGACCTGGCAGAGGTGGGTTACCCCGCCTAGTATCAGGACTTCCTGGTAGTCCTTGTTCCAGGGCCCCTCTGCAACCCTCTGTAAGGCTTAGGCTTCCCGACAACCGCCAGAGGGGTGGAGCTGAGGGTGGAGTGTAGGATTCCAGTTATGTGCTCACCAGTCTGGTGAGTCAGAAGCCGGACAGGCCGAGGCGGGCAGCATCTCCCACGGATGCGTGGACACTTGATGGGGACACTTGATGGGGACCCAGGGGACTGACGCGCCCTTAGCGCTGCTCGTCTGGCCTGTGGCATGCAATACGTGTCCACTGGCTGCCCAACGACCTCAGGCCCGGGTGTGGGCATTGCCTCCCTCTCCCTGGGGCTACCTGGATCCCCCGGTTATCTAGTGCCAGGCTGGTTCACTCTCGCCCCCGCCGCCGACAAGGAGGAGGCACGCTCCGGGACATGGAACCCCTATCTCTGGCGCCCCCCAGCGTCCAACGGGCGCAAACACAGAGAAGGCCCTCCTGGTCGGACCCCTCCTTAGACGTCAGCTAAGTAGCAGAGCGCACGCGCCACAGCCTTGGGGCGGAAGCGCCGGGAAGAGGCTTGCTTCCTGCTGGAGCCTGGCGAGGGAGGCTATAGGAGCTCCAGGAGGCGAGGCCAAAGGCGTTTACCCTATGGACACTTGGGGGCGTGACAGAGCCTACTGAAGGACCCAATGGAGCTGTGAGAGGTGGGGCGTGCCGGGCTGTGGGAACCTATCAGGGCGCGGAGTCTTGCCAGACGGTCCGGGTTTAGTCGCCACGTGGGTTCGCCGGCGGCCGCTGCAACACACACGGCGGGCGGCATGTTGGCGACAGCGGCAGCACGAAAGCGGGGAAAGCCGGCCTCGGGGGCCGGGGCCAGTGCGGGGGCCGGCAAGCGGCGGCGAAAGGTGAGTGGCGCTTCCGCTGGTCGGGGTCAGTACTACTAGAACCACCATCCCGTCCGCGGGCCCCGGGGCCCGGTCACCTCCCCGGCCCTTCTCCTGGGACCCCAGCTGGAGTCAGCTTTGTCCCTCTCTCCTCGGGCTGAATCCTGGAAGGCTTTGCACTTGAGCCGGGGTCACCATCTTTCCCAGTCCCGGCGCTGTCGAGAAACCGGAAGGGGCCCTTGATCAGTGCCGATGTGGTCCGGACCCTTGATCAAAGAAGAGATCATATAATTAATTCCCAGGCCGACTCTACTGGAGACAGAGGCAAGTCCAAGGGTGGCAGCAAGATGAATGAGGAGATCTCCAGCGACTCGGAGAGTGAGAGGTGAGCTCTTCTTTTCTACCTAGTGGAAGGGATCACTGAGGCCCATGGTGTATGAAGACTCAATGAGTCGGGGCAGAACTGGGCCTAGAACCCAGAACTCTGGCCCTTGGCTCTCAGACCTTGGCTCTTTCCTCCTGTTTCTGACCTTGAGAAGTCTTATCTCCTTCCCTGCAGGGTCTCTGTGTTGGGAGGACGGCCAGCCCCAATGGGAGACCAGTGAGACCTCCCTGGCTCATGGCAGGGAGCTGAACACAAGCTGGACTGACTGGCAAAGGGGGAGGGATGCAAGCATTGCTAGCTAGTTCTTCATTCTGTTTTCCCACGATTTCACAATGACTGGTCTGCCCCCTGACTCTCAACATATGCCAGGCACTGGCTTTTCACTGTTGAGAGTAAAGAGATGAGCAGGCAGGTGAAAGCCAAATGTCTTATAATGGGATGCATATCTTACAGCTTGTGTTCTGGGAACAGAGGAGGGGACATTTAAATAGAGCCTAGAGAGATGAGGAGGACTCTTTCATGGAGAGTTAGGGAAGGCATTCAGGGATCAGAGAAAAGTCTAGGGTGTAAGTGTACCAGAAAGGGAGATGGAGAGGTGGTAGGTGCATCCAGATTGTGGAGGGCTTTGAATACCTGCCTCATTCTGCAGGTGACGGGGGTGGGGTATGTTGCAGGATTTCAGAGGGGACTAGCAGGGTGTCAGGCCTGACCCTGTGGAATGGCGGCCCTCATACCAGGGAATCCTGGTGCCTTTTTTAAGAGTTGACTTTGGAAATTCTGCTTCTGAAATACGTGTTGGCCTTAGCCTGCTCACAGAAAGACTTAATATACTTTTCTTAGTCCTAAGGTTACTGTGGGAGGCTTGTGCCTGGCCATGGGCTAAGCACTTTTAAATGTTTTTAAAATATGTTGTGAAATATATTAGATACAGAAGAGTTCATGAAATGTATTTGTACTGTAGAGGGTAATGATGAATGATGAACCTCTGTGCACCCACCACTGAGGTTAAGAAGTAGACCATTTGCAGAAACTTAGAAGTCCCAACTGCCATTCCTGACTTGAGTTAATCCTTTCTTTGGTTTCCTTCCTTCCTTGCCTTTTTGTCTTTTTTTTCGTCTTCTCATTCAGGTATAATTTACCTACAGTAACATTCACCTTTTTTAGTATACAGTTTGGTGAGTTTTGACAGATGTATATAGTCCTGTAACTACCACCACTATGGAGCTATAGAAGGGTTTCATCACCCTCCAGAATTCCCCCCTGCTCCTTTGTGCTTCTTTCTCCCTCTCCCCCCAGCCCCTGGTAACTTTTGTCCCTATAGTTTTGCCTTTTCCAGAATGTCATATGAGTGGACTCATACAATGACCACTTCCCCTGATTTTCTGTGGAGTTCTGTCTCCTATGTGTGAACCCCTACACAATAGATTTATTAGTTTGGGTAAACTGAGTAGAAGTTCTGACCTTGGCTGGGTATGGGAAGGGCAGCACCAACCCTATTGGCTGAAGGCTTGCTGGGCACTGGGTACTAAATTGTCTCTGGGGCCTGGTCTGGCCTTGGCTTCCTTGAGAGTTTCCAAGGTCCCTTCTGGGGAAGTCGTGGGCAAGGTCATGTATGAGTCCTGGGAAACAGTTGGGGCACCTGACAGGGACTAGATATCTGCAGGCACGTGATCAGAGGGAACGGGCTGCCCTGACTTTTCTGCTTCTGAATTCCCATGACCTACCTGCAGCTGCCAGGAGCAAGTCAAAGTAGGCCTCGTCTTGAGTGAAGTGAGTGCTGTCAGCTGGTCCAGGGACTGAGGCATGGAAGGGAAGGCGGGAACTTCACCAGCACAAGGTCAAGCCAAGACCAGTTAAACGTCACCTGGAATCCCGTCCTCAGGGTAGAGGATGGTGCTGTGGCATTGAGGATGAGGCGATGACAATCTCAGCGTGTCTCGGGTCCTTGGATTGGATCCGGGCTGGCTGCTCCCCCATTTCTGGGGGCAGTTGCTCTGGGATCTACCTTTTCTGCTCTCCTTGTTGGATCTCCTGTTTCAGATCTTGCCTGCCTTCCTCATTCTTAGTTTACCCTCTTGTTCAGGAACACATCCTCCATCCTTAAAAGAAGGAGGAAGGACCAATTCTTTGACAACTTGTATATCTGACAATATCTTCACTGGTCGTTGATGGTTTAACTGGCATGGCATTCCAGGGGTTAGCATTTTCCGTCAGAATTTGGTGTGTGCTGCTCCTTTGTCTTGCTACTTTCAGTGTGGCTGTTGAGATGTCTGAAGCCATTTTGATTCCTGACCCTTTGTACACAACCTGATTTTTCTTGGAAGCCTGTAGAACCTTCTCTTTCCCTCCAGAGTTGAGAGATTTCACAGTGATCCCTTTGGGTTTTGGGTCTGTTTTCACCCTTACGGCAGGCACTGGGTGGGCCCTTTCAGTTTTCTGCTTGTGTAATCATCGGCCATGAGGGCTGGCAGGGGTGGGGGTGGTTGAATGGCTGAGGGAGCAGCCAGGAGGTATGGTCCTAGTGGCCAGAGGAGCAAGGTGAGCCCTCCTCAAGCCCAGCCCCCTCCCGCCTACAGCCTAGCTCCCAGGAGGACTGAGGAGGAGGAGGAGGAGCTAGAGGAGACTGCACAGGAGAAGAAGCTGCGCTTGGCCAAGCTCTACCTTGAGCAGCTCAGGCAGCAAGGTGAGCCCATGGGCAGGGCAGGTGAGAGGCGGGGCCTGTGCCTAAGCCTGCCTGGGGCAGCCTCAGCCACCTGATGGGTGACTGAGTCAGGTACCTGGTGGGCTGCCAGGGCTGCTGGTGCTGGCTGCCCTGTGGGAGGGTCTGATAAGTAAAGGCAGGGGGTGGGCAGGAGGAGACCATCCAGCCCTCCTTGCCCTTTGCCTGAGGCAGCCTGAACTTCCCTCGGGACACAGCCTAAGTGTCCAGGGTCCAGGACTGAGGTGGTGGGGTGGGGATGGGAAGGAAAAAGTGGGGTTTTGGCGTGGATTTACTTGGTATGGTCTGTCCCACACAGAGGAGGAGAAAGCTGAAGCCCGTGAATTTGAGGAGGACCAGGTGGCGGGACGCCTGAAGGAGGATGTGGTGAGTGTGGAGGGAGGGTGATGGGAGGGAATAGATGGGGCTGGTCCTGCTCCTGGGATCTCACCTCTCTTCTCCATGCAGCTCGAGCAGAGGGGCAGGCTGCAGAAGTCGGTGGCAAAGGAGGTGAGTGGGCAGGGCACTTTGATGTACCTTGGAGGGAATTGGGGATCTCACCCGGGTTGGTGGGCAGATGGCCCAACTGGGTACTCAAGCTGCATTGCGGGGTCTTTGGTCTGGAACATGGTGGGCGTTTGGGCAGACAGAGTCAGGTAAGGGTCTGGTCTTTGTGGCCCTGGGTCCGGGTTTCCTTCTGGGCAGGGTGGTGGGAAAGGGTGGCGTATGTGTGTAGGGGTGCCTTCCTGCCTCCAGTCGCAGTGACCCAGCCCCCACCTGACCAGATCCAGGCCCCAGCAGCAGCCGACATTCGAATCTTACGGGGCCACCAGCTCTCCATCACGTGTTTGGCTATCACCCCTGATGACTCGGCCATCTTTTCCGCTGCCAAAGACTGCACCATTATTAAGTGTGAGTGAATGCCTGGGTGGGGGTGTGGCCCCCAGGGGTCATCCAGGAGGGCTGGTCTTGGGAGGAGGGAATAATCAGGGCAAACTGAAGCCCAATGAGGGAGGCTTCTGGAGGCAGGTTTGCTCTGAAAGAGGTGTTTTCTGTGTGACAGTGGAAGCTTCTGCTCAGGAGTGGGGCTCGTGAGCTCCCCGACACTGTCATTGGAGATTGAGCAGAGGCAGCATGATGATTTGTGAGAATTGATGCTGCAGGTGGGCAGTTGGACTGGAGGACGCTTAAGACTCTGCACAGTCCTGGAATTGAGTTTTTGGTCCTCCTGGGTTCCTAACCTTCGACAACTGAGTGCTGTCCTCATCCTCCCTGTTCATCAACAGGGAGAACTTGCACCATCAGTCCCAAAGCACTTTCCTATCCCTTCTCTTCTGGGCTTCATGGCTGCCCTTTGGCATTATTGTCACCACTTAACAGATGAGGAAACTGAGGTGACTTGTCCAGGGCCTGACAGTGGCTGAGCCAGATCTGACCTGAGGCCAGGACTTTTCCCATGGCCCCATGCTGCCTTTGAGGGAGCTTGCCAGCCAGTCCTGTCCCCCATCCTAATAGCCTCTCTCTTCCCTCTGTGTCAGGGAGCATGGAGAGTGGACGGAAGCTTCATGTGATCCCACGAGCCAAGAAGGGTGCTGAGGGGCAGCCCCCTGGCCATAGCAGCCATGTCCTTTGCATGGCCATCTCCTCCGACGGCAAGTACCTTGTAAGGCAGGGTTGGCCCCAGGGGCGAGTGAGAGGTCTGGGCACACAGTGGGTGCCTGTGGCCATTGTCCTCATCCCTACAGGCCTCTGGCGACCGCAGCAAACTCATTCTCATTTGGGATGCCCAGAGCTGCCGGCACCTGTACACCTTCACGGGACACCGGGATGCCGTGTCGGTGAGGAGCTGGGCCTTCTTTCATGGACACTTACCCTGAGTGAGCCAGGCTTGGTGCTGGGCTCTGTGGAATGGGATGAATGAGGCAGAGGGTCCCTGTCCTCAGGGAACCTGCACTTTGGCGTAGTGAGTGGCTCTGTAGAGGACATAAACAGAGTGAAGGGCTAGGGAAGAGTGGGGGAGACTGAGTCAAACTTGCCTAGGGAGCAGGGAGGCCTCTGAGAAGTCTGCAGCTGCTCGAGGGCAGGTGAGTGTGCCCCTGGCTCTGGATAGAGCTGCACAGAAGTGCCCACAGAGCTTTCGCGGGGAGCTGGCTCCCTGTGCCCTGTGACTTGTTTTCTCAGGAAGTCCTCCCTAGGCCTGACCTCTGTCTTGCCTGCTGTAGTCCATGTCCCCTTTTGCCTTCTTTCTGTGCACCCTTAGGGGCTGGCGTTCCGCAGAGGCACCCACCAGCTCTACAGCACGTCGCACGACCGCTCTGTGAAGGTTTGGAACGTGGCAGAGAACTCCTACGTGGAGACCCTGTGAGTGTGCGCGGGGAGAGGGTGTGCGGATGTGTGTGTGCGAGTTCACGTGTGACCCCATTCTCCCTCTGTCCCTCCTCCAGTTTCGGACACCAGGACGCTGTGGCTGCACTGGATGCCCTGAGCAGGGAGTGCTGTGTGACGGCCGGGGGCCGGGACGGGACTGTCCGAGTGTGGAAGATCCCTGAGGAGTCCCAGCTTGTCTTCTATGGCCACCAGTAAGGCGGCCTGCTGCGCCAGGTGGGGGCGAGGTGGGCTGGGGGTGAGGGTGGGCCATGCCCCTCACTGCTCCCGTCTCCAGGGGCTCCATTGACAGCATCCAGCTCATCAACGAGGAGCACATGGTGTCGGGCGCAGACGATGGGTAAGAGCTGCCTTTTGGATGCCTCCCACCATTGCCACTGCTCCTGGACATGCCTCATAGGATTCCCCTGCTCGGGAGCTGTGGTAACCCCTTTTCATAGATGAGGATCCTGAGGCAGAGAACTCAGGTGACCTTGTCTCCTTCCCATGGCTGGTGTGCACTTGATCCCTTCCTGCCTGTGGCCTTTCTGCCCTGTCTGTGGCCCCCTCACTGACTCTGCTCTCTGTCCACAGCTCCGTGGCCTTGTGGGGCCTCTCCAAGAAGCGGCCACTTGCCCTGCAGCGTGAGGCCCATGGACTGCGGGGGGAGCTGGGCTTGGAGCAGCCCTTCTGGGTGTCGTCAGTGGCAGCCTTGCTCAATACAGACCTCGTGGCCACAGGTGGGTGCCCTGTACCGCAGAGAGGGGGGGGTCATAGGGTGGGCTGGTGCAGGAGGTGCCCACTGTCTCCCTGTCCCCCCAGGCTCCCACAGCTCCTGTGTGCGGCTCTGGCAGTGTGGGGAGGGCTTCCGGCGGCTTGACCTTCTTTGCGACATCCCCCTGGTGAGTGGGGCTTGAATGCTTAGCCTTTGCCACACTTCCAGGCCCCTTATGGTAGGGGGCCTTCCCAGAGCAGGGCCAGCTATGACTTCCCTTTATGGTCCCAGCTCCTTGCACAGGGCCTAGTGGGAAGCCTCCCCCCTCTTCCTCTCCCTTCATCCCCTCCTCCACTCCCCTCCCTGTCCTAGACTGTCCTGGGTACTGAGGTAGAAGGCTGGGAACAGCGTGGCCAAAGGTCTGGAGGGCCTGGCACTGTGATCCTGTGGCTGGTGCCAGGTTAATGCCAAGCTAGGGCGTGGGGACCTGGGGCAACCTAGGGGAGAGTGGCAGGCTCTGTCAGTGACGTCTGGTGACAGTGCAGGGCTTGGGTCAACAGTGATGGTCATGGGGTCTCCAGGGCCCCACAGCCAGGAGCCAGGCCCTGGGCCACGCCTGACATACTTGGTGTACATTGTTTCTTTAATCCTCACAAACTCACTGTGAGGCTGGTGCTCTGTGTCCCTCATCTCACAGATGTGGAAGCTGAGGCCCTGAGGGGTAAAGAGCTGGCCCAGGTGACAGGAGGCAGAGCAGGGATTTAACCCAGGCCTGGGACGGCCAAGCCCTTGACTGTGATGCTGGGGCTGTGGTGGCAGGATCTGTACTCATATCTTACTATGTTGTCCCTCCCTCTTCTCAGGTGGGCTTTATCAATAGCCTCAAGTTCTCCAGCACTGGGGACTTCCTGGTGGCCGGGGTGGGGCAGGAGCACAGGTATGAGGCACCCCTTGAGGGGTGAGGGTGGGGTAAGGTGGTACTGGCTGGGCGCTGGGCAGCTGGGTGGGAATGGGGTGGAGACCAGGTGGAGCTGAGTCTGGCCTCAGCTGCTCCTCTCGTCCCCTGCAGGCTTGGCCGATGGTGGCGGATCAAGGAGGCTCGGAACTCTGTCTGCATCATCCCACTCCGCAGGGCCCCCAGGCCCCCGGCCGCTGGCTCCTGACACTCTCGTCCCCTTTATTTGAGTCCTTTCCAGGCCAGACCCGCCCTCTTTGTATTAAAAGCCTCCTCTTTTGGGCCTTGTCTCTGCTGCTTCTTGGGTAGGGAGGATTGTGGGTTGGAAAAGGCCTGGGGAGGGACAGGTTTCTGTCAGTCTCAGTTCTGCGCCTCTGCTGGCCTGAGGGCTTTTTTTCCTTTTCCAGGGAAGTTGGGATAGAGCCCTCAGCTGGCTTCTGGCTCCTGGTCCCTGAGTATCCTCTATGATCTCATTAGGCCAACTCCCCAACCACTGCTCTGGGCAGGTGGGGGTCAGAAGCTGCTGACTCCTCAGCTAGGAAGCCACACTGTCCAGTTGTGTGTAAGGGCTGGCTGTGGGGTCTGAGAACTGAAATGAAGACAGCTAGGCCTACAAGTCAGGCTGACCTGCTCACCCAGGCCAGGTCAGGAAGCTGAAGGGGACAGACTGCCGCTGGGGGCGGGGTCTGCCTGTGGTTCTTAAGGGGAGAGGTGGTCCCCTCGGAGGAGGAAGCCACAGGGCTTCCCTCCTGCTGCCACGCTCATGAGGCCTCCCTGCTCAGACAGACCCACTCCTGCTTTCCTTCTGGGGCCAGAAGGGTCAGGTTCAGGTTGAACCCCTGAAAATCCTGTTATGGATCAGAAGATGTTGATAGAATTCACTCCCTATGTCCTGCCTCAAATTGAGCTCAACAGTAGCATAAACATACCTCCTGAATAACATTGCAAACAACACTGAAATGCCCCTTGATATATGAACGCTTTTCCTGTTAGCACATTCCCAGGAAGAAAGTAAGATTCGAAAATAAATGCTCTTGGAATTGAAACTGAAAATAATTTCTCTTATGGCTTCTATTCTCAGTCTTGGTCAGCTGAGACTTCCTTGCTGTAGCTGGGACCTTATTTATTTATTTTAATTACAGTAAAAAACATCTTAACCATTTTTAAGTGTACAGTGCAGTGGTGTTAAGTATATTCACCCTGTTGTGTAACGGAGTTCCAGAACTTTTTCATCTTGCAAAACTGAAACTCTATAACCATTAAAACAACTCCAGGGGCCGGCCTGCTAGTGTAGCGGTTAAGTTCGTGCGCTCCACTTTGGCGGCCCAGGGTTCGCAGGTTCAGATCCTGGGCACGGACCAACGCACTGCTTGTCAAGCCATGCTGTGGTGGGGTCCCATATAAAGTAGAGGCAGATGGGCGCGGATGTTAGCCCAGGGCCAATATTCCTCAGCAAAAAGAGGAGGATTGGCAATGGATGTTAGCTCAGGGCTCATCTTCCTCACGCGAAAACAAACAAACAAAAACAGCTCCACACTTCTCTCTCCCCTAGCCTGTGGTAACCACCATTCCACTTTCCGTTTCTATGAATTTAATTACTTTAGATACCTCATGAGTGGAATCACACAGTATTTGTCTTTTTGTGTCTGGCTTATTTCACTTAGTATAATGTCCTCAAAGTTCATCCATGCTGAGTGTGACAGGATTTCCTTCCTTTTTAAGACTGAGTAATATTCCAGTGTATGGTTGTATCACATTTTGTCTGTCCATTCATCCGTCAGTGGGCATTTGGGTTGCTTCCACCTCTTGGCTATTGTGAATAACGCTGCTGTGAGCATGAATGTGCAAATATCTCTTTGAGAACTTGCTTTCAATTTTTTTGGATATATACCCACAAGTGGGATTGTTGGATCATATGGTAGTTTTATTTTTAATTTTTTGAAGAACTGCCATACTGTTTTCCATAGTGGTTGCACCATTTTGCAATTCCACCCACAGTGCACAAGAGTTCTAAATTCTCCACATCTTTACCAATACCTGTTATTTTTATAGCAGCCATCCTAATGGGTATAAGGTGGTATTTCAGTGAGGTTTTGATTTGCATTTCTGTAATAATTCGTGATGTTGAACATCTTTTCATGTGCTTATTGGTCATTTTTATGTCTTCGGAGAAATATCCAAGTCCTCTGCCCACTTTTGAGTCATGTCTTTTTTGTTGTGCGTTTTAGGAGTTCTGTGTATTTTCTGGATATTAATCCTTTATCAAATATGTGATTTGCAAATAGTTTCTCCCATTCTGTGGGTTGCCTTTTTACTTTGTTGATTCTGTCTTTTGACTCACAGAATTGTAAAATTTTCATGGAGTCCAATTTTTCTTTTGTTGCCTGTGCCTTTTGTGTGACATTGAAGAAATCATTGCCAAGTGCAGTATTGTAAAGCTTTTACTCTAGATTTTCTTCGAAGAGTTTTACAGTTTTAGGTCTTACATTTAAGTCTTTGATCCATTTTGAATTAATTTTTTGTGAGTTGTGTAAGATAGGGTTCCAGTTTCATTCTTCTGCATGTGGATATCTAGTTTTGCTGACACCATTTGTTGAAGAGACTGTCCTTCCCCGTTGAGTACTCTTAGCACCTTGTCAAAGATCATTTGACTATATACAGGTGGGTTTATTTCTGGGCTCTCTATTCCATGTAGTTGAGTTCCTGAGCAGCGGCTGCCATCAGCAAACCTTCAGCATCTTCTGGGATCCTTCACTTCACCTTTTGCTTTGTCCAAAATCTGGCTATTTCATGAGGATGTGCCTCCCACCTAGCTCTTGGAGGTAGAAGGATGTTCTCCACATCTCCTGCATTAGTTAGCTATTGCTGGATAGCAAACCATACTAAAACTCAGTGGCTTAGAACAATTATTGCTCACAGGTCTATTGGTCAACTGAGTGTTTCTTCTGGTCGCAACTGAGCTTACGTATGCTTTTGCAGTCAGCCTTGTATTAGGGGCTCTGCTGATCTTGACTCATGTTTCCTACATTTGGAGGTTGGCTGGCAGTAGGCCAGTCTAAGGCCTCAGCTGGGAAAACTGGAGTCCTATAACTGGCTTCTCATTCTCCAGTAGGATAGCTCAGGCTTGTTCACATGTCTGCACAGGGTTCCAGAAGAGTGAGCAGAAGTGTACAAGTCATCTAGAGGCCCAGGCTTGGATCTGGCACTTCTATCACATTCTGTTGGCCAAAGTAGATCACAGGCGAGCCCAGATTTAAGGGAAAGAGGCTCCATCTCTTGATGGGAGGAACTGCAACGTTGTGTTGCAAAGGGTACAGAAACTGGGGATGTTTCTGCAATCAATCCACCACATACCCTACTGCTCAGTCCAGAGCATCCCTCCTCTTCCCTCCTGCCAGAGCTGTGGTCTTCTACTCCTGAGTAGGCAGGAGATGTTGCTAGAGGGCAATATCAGACTCTGATGGTCCAGGAGGAGTCAAGGATGGAATGACCTCACCCCAAACTGCTGGCCACTGTTAGGAGAGTGGCACATCAGATGAGCAGCCAGTATCCACTCTTCCCTCTCCCTGCCTGAGAATGGGTCTAGGAGTAAGGTCTGAACTTCTGACTCATCTACACCCCCCATTCTCCCATGTGTCATTCTCAGGGACTTTCCCACCAACCCTAACTCCAAAAGGGGAACTGAGAATCAGAGAGGTGAAGGGAATGGGACTGGTAACCCACCTTCCCAGGATATGCCCTGGGCTTCATCTTTTTGCAGCCCTGAGAGGTAGCTTCTGGCGGCAGTGGCAAGGGTGAAGCCACTTGCTGGGGATGGTGACAATATTACTTGTCCTGGGTACCTGTGGTTTTGTCTGCCAGGTACTCATTTCCTTTTCTTCTGGGAAGAGAACTTGCATTTCTTATGGAAAACTATCCGTTCCCCATGTAGCATGTCCATCCATCCATCTGTTCAACAAAACTGTTGAGTTCCACTAATACCCCAGATCCTGTTCTAGGCCATGGGGATACAGAAATGAACAAGAAAAATTTCCTGCGTTGAAGCAGCTTACACTCTGGAGGACATAAATTCTTAAACAAGCAGATATATAACACAAGTGCTATGGTGCTAAGAGATAAAGCAGGGTAAAAGAACAGGGACTGGAACAGGTGATCTCTAAGGTTTCTCTGGAGAAGTGCCATTGAGCAAGACCTGAATGACAGGAAGATCTGAGGGAGGAGCATCCCCACACTTGGGATAGCCTGTGCAAAACTTCCAAGACAAGAAGAGCAGAGAGGTGGCCTTTGTGGCTGGAGCAGATGATGGGAAGGCAGGGAGAGTGAGCTGGAGATGTCAGCAGTTCCAGTTCAAGTAGGGCCTCAGGGTCGTGGGAAAGTCCTGGGGTTTTTTTCAAAAGCAATGGGAAAGCATGAGAGGATTGATAGCAGAAAAGTAATGTGATCTGGTTCAAAAGAAAAAGAAAAAACCACTCTCTGGCTGCTGTGTGGAGAACTGATTAGGGGTAGAGGTTTGGAGAAAGAGAGGAGGCCAGTTAGGGAGCTATAGTAATAGCAGGTAAGAGATGATGGTGCTGTGAGAGGGAGGGACAGCAGTAGGAGAAGTGGAGAGACAAAGCTGTGTTTGAGATGTGTTTGGAGGTGAAGCCAACAGATCTTGCTGATGGGTTGATTGTGGGATGAGATAAAGGGGGCAACATAGTGGACGTTTACAGAGGTGTAAATGGTGGTGACGTTTACCCAGTGGTGACATTTTCCGAGGCGAGGAAGACCATGCAGGGATGGACCAGGAGGAGGATCAGGAGTTTAGTTGAGGACTCATTACATTTGCAATGTCTGGTAGGTGTAGGAAAGTTGAGTAGGCAATGAGCTCACTGCTATATGTTTTATAACATATATGAAGCCCTGTGATTCTGGGGAGCAGAGTCACACCCCCCATCTGGGGGTGCAAGTGGGGTCCTTTGCCAGCCAATTGAACTAACAAGTTTCTATAGCCATGGTGATTGTTTTGGGGATGGGCACATGAATCTAGTTAGTACAGTTGGACTCAAATTTGGAACTATTGAGAGAAGTAGCTTTGTGAGGATGAGGTGGCAACTGCTGGCAGCCATTTTGCTACCATAGTAGTGGGAAATCTGCTGGGAAGCGGAAACGGATGGAGAGAGGGAGAGTGAGAATGAGCCGGGGCAATATTGTTTGGACTCTGGATTCAGCTATGCCTCAGTTGGCCAGTCCCCCCTTTTGAGCCAGTTTGAGTTTCTCTCACGCACAGCAGAATGGTTCTTG